TTTAAATAGTGCTTACTTATATAGGTTATAATTCTAGCATCATACTCCAAGACTAATAATGAAAAGTGTCAATTCGAAATAAACTAAAAATATCCTAATTATTCTCCGTAGCTAAAGAAAAGTCTTGATGAAATTGGCTAAGTAGTGTCTAACTACTGTAGCTTTGAGCTAAATCTGGCTGGGCACTTGTGGAGTTAGTTGTGAATAATAAAAGAGTACTTATTATCATGAATGGCAGTAGTTTTAGCGTAGTACTTATCAGAGAGAGTAGTATGATAGTATTGTTTCCTTTACTAATGCAAACAAAAGTAGCGGCCCCTCCTTCCACTTTTATGGGTAATAGTATTGTTTATGCCTTTTGGAGGGTCTTTTTGCATACTTCATCTTATATGTTTTATTAAGCTATCCCGACTCGAGTCCTACTTTACTCATTCGAGTTCAATCCAAAAGACTCTTATGCTCTTCCAAGGTGAAAGAACTTACTTAAAAACTTCAACTTCAATAGGTCGATACTAGTAATAATCTCACCAACTAGGAAGTAATCTTGGTTTCTAACTTTGACCCTAGTCAAAATCGAGACTCTGCTGCCTATTTCTGAATCTCCTTCGTGTGGTAGTAATCTCGTACTTATTTCCGAGTATCGACGAGTGGTCTATAGATCTGGACAGTGATCTCTAAATTTCATTAAGTTCAGTGAGGTGGAAAGTCCTTGAGCTTTATCTTTATCATTTCTGCATTGATAGCTACCTCTAACAGATTTATTTGCATCCATTCAAGGTGCTTACCTTGTGCTTGACGCCTTTGCGTTCTCTAACTAGATTTGTTTTGTTAGAGTTATGACCATGTTGCTTTAAAGTTAAGTAACACACAAAGAGATAACAACTCTTTCACTTAATTTGAAGCTTCGCGTTGACTACTAATCTCCCTTTAGATACAGTTTTAACCCTAATTTGCTTAGAAAGGCCTTGGGATTTCCTTGTTGAACACTTTTGTGTGAACATTCTAAGTAACTCAGTTAAGCTCGTGTTCCGTGCAAGTAAGTGCGATTATTTTTAACTAGAAAGTATCCTTGATTGTTATCGTTATAATTGTTAAGTGACGTTTCTTGAGTGCTGTTACCTACTAATAATACTAAATATTATTAAACTTTTTTATTATTATTTAAAACAGAGCTATTATCTAGTATATTTAAATACCAGAATCGCTCGTATATGAAATAGGAGCTTTTCGCTCGGGACTCGTTGCACTCGCTCGTCCGGTGCGAGTATTTTATCTTAACTTTTGAATCTTTTTATCATATTTTTAGCGCGGGACGTGCAAGGCTTCCTTGGTTATCGCTGCGACCACAGCGAGGCTGGCGTCAGTTATCCTTTAAAGATCCATTCATGGCCGCTGTCCAGGCTGGTGCAATTTAATGGTGGCATTAGGTGCTCTTTTGGTGCCTTTGACCGTTTAATTGAACCTAACTGATGAAGCTTCGGGATTTCACTGTACATGCTTTAACGGTGCAAAGATTGCTTTTTGCCGCCAGAGCGTTATCGTAAAGTGTTCAAAAAAGATTGGCCCTATATATTAAATTAGCGCTCAACTTAGGCGTTAGTCCCAACGAGTTTCCGATGGTTTTCAATCTAGGTTAATTAATGGGTTGCCATCCAAAGAGCGGAATGCTGCGGGCAAGTAAACTTAACTTCAACGGGTCATTTATATCTCTACTCTGCAAAGGAGTCAGAACTTGGTGTCAGTAAAAACTGAAACAATCTACTTGAGATCAGCTATGACACTAACGGCTAATTAACAGTGAAATCCAATGCAGCGTGATTAATGGTAACTTCCTTATTAGAGTTCTGTGTTGTGAGGTTTCTGCAGTACTTCGGAGAGTTCTACAGTTGCAATAACTAGCTGAATTAATCAATCAAACACATACTAAGGACGCACGGGTCGAAAGATCTGCTTTTAAAACTGGTAAAAACTCTAGGTTGGGTAAAGACCTTCGGGAAGGTTAAATCTTACCTGTATCTTAGGTTTTAACATTATGGTTAGTAACGTATTGCTCACTAACGAGACTTGGTCCTAAACGGATAAAATCTAAGAGGACTTTATAGCTAAAGCCTAATAATAAACACACAAACAGATCACAACTGTTTCACTTATTAGGAACAGCTCCGCTTTGAGTACTAGCATTGCCTTCCGGGGCAGTTTTTTCGTAATATACCGAGGAAAAGCATGGAAATACTTGGCTGAAGCCTTGGTGGACGGTGCTAAGTTGCTAAGTTAAGATCTTGTTCAGTGCAATTAGGTGCGGTCAAAAGCAAACATGAAACCTAGTTTAGCAATGAGCGATGTTAGCAAAGATTGTTTGCCTCCTTCGAAGGCCGCCGGCGACTGATTCTCCTTGTAGCTTAGGTTCTTCCCTGGTCTCATTGGACTTGGTGGCTGGTGTGTAACTCCACTGTAATAATGTGTGTTACTATAGTCTTAACTACTAGTACTATATATATAAGGCGACCATATTGATTAATTTATTTTGTACGGTGTTAATATTAACTGCTAAAACTCTCCGAGCGAAGAAGCCAGTTGAAACCTAGCCAACACCTTATTTTAGTCTTTAGTTTAGTTCTATTTACCCAAGAATCAAAAAATTTAACCTGCTATCTTTCTACGGGTATAAGCACTGTCTTTGACACTTTGGGCGTGTTATTAACGAATTAAGTCGTTTAAAATCCGTATAAGAGATAAAAGCTAATTAGCTCTTTCTCGATGTGTGCTCTTTCTCTCCTGCACGTGGCACCTTTTGTATCAGCGCAAGAGCTGGCGTCGCATCCTCCATTGGCTCGACCACAGCGAGGTACGCATCGGCTATCCTTTAAAGATTCAATTTTGGCAGCTGTGTAGGTTAGGCTGTTAGCAACTCTCGGTGCTGGTGTACACTCATTAATAGAGCGAGGATTGCTTTTTGCCGCGAAACCATTATGGTCAAGAGGTCGGAAAAAATCATCCCTATATAAAAAAGCGTCTACCATGGATGGTATTCTTTTAGGCTTCACGATGGATTTCGGTGTAGTGTTGCTATTGGGTACTATCCAGAGATGAAATGGCGTGCAAATGTAGGTTTATCTGCCGCGGCTAAGGTCACCCTCTTCTGTTCGGCAGTGCATGGCGGCTGTTCTTGGAAGTTCACTGTTTATTAATTCTCATTCATAGCAAATTATGGCAGTATCCGAGTTAATGCTTCGGGCTACTTTATGGAATTACAAACCAATGGACCGTGATTATGTTACCTTCCTGCGGTGTGCTTTAAGCTCAGGGCTGCACGTTACTCTGGAAAGCTGTAATTTCTCTACTGGTCGTATGGAAAGATAGACCTTTAAAATTGGTAAAACCTTCATATAGCTTGACTTCTTTGGCAGATGTCATCTTCCTTGAGTGAAGGAGCGTACGTGATGGTTATGCACATGCCTTGCGCCTGGCGCCTTCGTTTTTGGTATTAGAACCGTATAGCTCTATGACCAACCTTAAGCTGGTATTGACTATTAATTAGTAAAGGCTAATTAACCTTGAACTTTTTAGAATAACGCCGAAGGGAGGTATTCTGGCATTGACTTCTGAAGCTATTTATTCTTAGACTTAGTAAATGAAGAGCATTTTGAGCCTTTACTGAAACATTAGCAATATTTGCTAAGTTGCCAGAGTAAAACACTGTCGGCGCAAGTTACAAAGACAAAAGCGAACTTTGTGGCTGCTCTGGCGATGAGCGGTGACTAATAATAGTATGCCTCGTTGCAAGGTCAATGGTGCATTTCAACATTTGGCTTATGTATCTAGTGATAGGTCAAGTAACCTTGAACTAATACTGTCTTGGCTAAGGTGTCGGAGTGCATCAGTGTTAGTGACATGTTGTTAAGGTCGACCTAGCTAACTGGTCGAAGCAACGTGAACTAAATAGTGTCATTAATCATTGCACTTATTACAGAGGCTCTTTTACCTCAAGCTAGGGTGGGTTTGTCACATTTTAGTTAAATAAAATTATTTGTAGCAAAATAAATAGCACTTCTTTTTTCTTGTTTAGTCTGTTAGGCTCTATTTTACGTATCATTGCGATGTTATACGAGAGTATTTTTGTTCAGCTTTGTAAACGAGTAAAGCATGGAAGTTTACTGTTAAGTTTGAGGAGAGCTTACAATATCTAGTAAGTCTTGCAATTCAAATTTGGTCAATAGTTTTGAAAATCGTGCAACTTTCTAACAAACGATTTTTTAAACATGAGAAAAGTTTTATTGATTTATTTCCATGGTTCTGCTAGCGTAGACGTTAAGTTTACCTACTAAGGTGAGTTGACTTTTTTTAAATATTTAGATTATTGAAAGTGAAAGGGTTAGGTTGGAAGAACTTGTCATTGAACACGCTGTATTCTTGCTAACTGATAGTCGTGAAAGCAGGTGGTTGCCCACTGTCCTTTGCCAGGCTCATGGTAAAGTTAAGCAGCTTTTAGATTTTATTAAGCTTCATCTGTTGAGGATAAACTAATAGATTTGTATGAATACCGCTTTGGGTTTCGATTCTTTTGTGGTTATGCGCCATTGAAATTACGATACTCCTCTTTAAAAAACGCTTGAGTTATTAAAAAACTATTATTAAGATAAATTAATGATAGTAGTCGGTATAGAAAAAGGTTTTAATTGAATATTTTAATTATTTTCATTTAAGGTTGTTTACTTTTGCTCGGATGTTGTGGCTCCAGTGAGCGTAATATTTATACAAACCGTTAATGTGACTCTTTGCTAATTATCTACATCAAGTCCTTTGAAAGCAGAACATTGGACCAGTAGTGCACATTGACGAGGCCAGGCCTATTTTCGACCACTAGTATATCATCCTAATCAAATCAAAAACTTGACTTTGCTACTAAGAATGCACTCTAATTACTACATGTTACTGCGTAGCTTCCTTCAGTATACATAATAATGCAATGGTGGGCGTCCCTTATAATTTTAACTTTTTTTTTTTTAAGCTATTGCAATTATGGGCTTGCAATATATAATAATCGTGTGCTAATAAAATACCTTTTTGTAAAGACTTTCCTCTACCTTAATCTACATATAAGTAATACAATGTCGCAGTTTTAGTTTAACAGGATAAAAGGTTGACTAAAAAAAAAATAACTAAAAAAGATATTATACCGAGGAAACCTGCTAATTTTTTATAAATAGGCCTTCCCTTTATAGCAAGCATTTTAACAGTAGAATTGTTTGTTTCCTTTTTGCAGTATCCGGAAAGGTCAGTTCATTTATATTTTTAATTATTTTCTCTGAACTTACAACCTTGAGTGCACTTTACTAAAATACGAGTACTAAAAAAAATTTAACTTTAAAATTACTTTATATACCCGTTACTATTTTGTTAATATTGCCTAATATTGTTACCCTTTCTCTCTCCAGCACTGAAGTTGAGGAGATCCCTTTGGGTACTCCATATTATATGGTGACCGAAGCAAGCTTTTTTTAATTTTGATTAAATAATTAGGAATAGTTCCTCACCAAATTTAAGGGTTTTTGTCCCTGTATAATTTATTAATATCCCGTGGGGAAGCTTTTAGTAACTGCGTTTATGCTCTGAGAAGGTTAGCAATTAAATCAATTACAATGAATATTATAAATATTTAAAGTCTTGAAGGTCCTGCATGCCTTTTGGGATAACAAGGAAGAATTGTTATTAGAGTGTTGCAACGACGCTCTTTACTTGGAGGAGATTACCGAGTTGGCATTTACGAAAGGAAATATTGATCAAGTAAATAGTTATTGTGTTTGGTCGCCTTACTCAGTAGATTCTCTTACTGGCGTTTTATGAACAGTTCTACTTGGACTCTGATCTTGAGGATAATAAAGAGGATTAATATTTAATTGCTTCATCATTTTGCAGCTATACAAAATAACTTAATAAAATCGACGTTTCTTTATAGGGGGTATAGAATTGCAACCTTGCCGAGTTCTTAGTCCGACAATCTGACACTCCCGTCACGCAGGCTGGGAGCGCACGTTTGTACTAAAAGCTGAACTTTTGTATCAAGCAGTCGATCCAACACCAATATTTTATTTTCATTTGATATGCAATAAACGCTACGCAAATGTTTAAAAATTAATAGAATTTTTGTTAACGATGTCATTATGAAAGTCAATGATGGAAGATGAATAAATAGATGCACCAATTAAATTACGCTCGTGATAGCCACTAACAAAAATTATATACTAACTTCAAAGAATTTATGACATAGTGTGTATACTAAAAAGTTGCTAAGTTACTACATCGGTTGGTACACTAAAGAAACATGCCCTTACCCCTAGAGAACCGGTTTTCACGAGAAAAGTTAGAAATACCAGTTTGGGTTCCAAGTTCTGTAATGCCCCGGGGTTTTTCAGGTCTCCAAAAGTTTGGGGTTGTTAGGAGTTTTGAGGGTTTGAATGTTTTTACAATAAATTATAAACACACTCCCAGGGCCTGCTATTTAACCTCTGCAGATAAAATTATTGAGGCGGGCCTTATTATCAATAAAATATTTTAGTTAGCGAGGCTGTAAAATTTATTTAAATACTATAAGATTTCAAACTATTTTTACAGTTCTATACTGAAAGTAATAAAAACATCATTATTATTTAATAAAGCTTATATTAAAAAATAACCATAAAGCTGAACTTCTGTTATTTATCTTCTTTTTATAGACAACTAATTTTATTGTTAGGATCACCACTTTTGCATTTCTTAAAACCAACACTTATTGGAACTTTTCTAGCATTTTTTGGATGTCGAGTTTACAGAGGGTGTTTTCGATACCTCAATAGAACTCTTGATAATGCAAGAACGTGGAAAGTGCATGCTCCAGCTTATGCTTGCTTGTTTATACCAGAGTTAATTGTCACAATTCTCATAATTCATACCTGTTGTAATAGTGAAAACCATAAGCACCAAGGAATATTCCATCTAAAATCTGTTTTAAAAAGCAATTTTTTTATTCTGGCTACTTTGGATGTTTGTGGTTGTTTGCTCACCCTTGCTTCAGTCCTTATTGGCGTCAATAGTACTTTTTCGGTTATAGTTAAACCCTTGAATCTTGCTAAGAGTGCGTTTCCATTGATTCTTACTTTGGATGCGGTTTTTATAAAGATGGAAAGCCAAAAATTAAAACTGGGGCCCTTCCCGGGTGAAGCGGGAAGAGCGGTTTTTAGCCAGGTTTAGTACTTTTTATTTTTTTAAAAAAAGAATTAAGATTAGGGGCAGCAACATTAATAAGAGTCCTTTTTATAATTTCATTCATATCATAGGTGTAACTTAATATTGCTATTATTGTAACTTTTATTGTTAACTAATAGACAATGGAAACTTTAATGGCTAATGCACTTGATGTACTTTGAGAGCTTGCTTAAGACCTTTTCAATTTTAAACTTTATTATACTGATTTTTTCATCTTTTAAGAGTGTAACAAAAAAAAATATAAGAAATTATGACTTAAAAAGATCTTTTTCTAGTTTTTATTACAACCACTTATAGAAACTTTGTTTAGTTGTTGGCTTACTGTTAAAATTACTACGGTTAAGCATAGACGTTAAAAAGAGGAAGGCAATTTATTACATTATTATTTACTACGCTTGACTAACTTTCGTGCAATGCTAAAGTATCTATTTAAGTTTCTGGTTTTATAAAAAGATGTACATATAAGCTTATATGTGTATAATTATAAAGATTGTTATCACATTGTGCCAAACCTCAAACTGGGCTCTAAGATTTTCAATAAAAAATGGACCAGAAAGTTTGTATATTTGTACTCCCTTTTAAATGATATGTAAACACTAAACGCCGAGGGACTTAGTTTAAAAGTTAACATACTTAAGGGTAAAAAAAATAGACAAATTGCCAATTTTAAATTAAGAATGACGCAGTTCCTGACCGGGACATTTGTGTTTCCTACTGAACATTGGAGTAACGGTAATTACCAAGTTCTGTACAGATTTCAATCTCTACTCTTGCACCCTTTTAAACTGTTTTAGGCCAGGTTTCTTTTTAAACTTAGTTTTTATTTTATCTACAAAATTGAATGGTCTTTCTTTTCAATCAAAAGTTTACAGATAAACCGTTTGCCGCTCCTTACTACTAAAGCTTTCTTTGTGGCAAAGGGTTAAGTACTTCTCTAAAGGTGAACTAACAAGTGCCACTAAAAAGGATGATGATATACGCTCTTAATTTAGTACCTTAATACCATATAAAAACTGCAAATATTACGAAAAAGGTCACTAACTTTACCTAGCCAAAATTTTACCTCGCGTTACTTATATATGCCTCTACTTTTAATAGTGATTGTTTAAAAAAATAGAAAATCCTGCTTTGCGAGTGTATTTTCGCTTATTATGCAGAAAAGAACATTTACTTTAACTCTTCAATGGAATATGCTCTACTTCTTTTTTTTAACTTTTGTTCTAGGCCATCCCTTCATAGTTCCTTTTCACTCTATTCGATACCCTTTTCAGTACTTTGTATCGTTTTTGCTCTGTTTACATTTTAATCTTAAACAATTCTTCTCCTTATGGAAGTTTATTGTTTCAACTCTTCAAGAATGTTAATCCATAGAGAAAAAGTAGAAAGTTTTTAATGAAGCACACCTATAAAACACCTGAACCCGGCGCGGTGTGTATTTCAAGTGCTTAAAGTTATTTATTAGTATCCTATCAAACTAACTTTTAAAAAAAAAACTCGAACAGCATATTACTAACCATTATTTTAAAGGAAGCCCTTCCGTTCTTATTTGAAATGGAGTTTCCGTACAATTCGCTTTATGAAACCTTTTTTTTAACATTTATTGTAAGAACGAGTAAACGAATAAGCACGTAGCTTGGGGTAAGTCGCACCTAACTTATTTTGCATAAGTTTTTGCTTATCTTTTTTTAAATTAACTGATTTTATACTGACCCCCATATTGAGTTGACAGTAAATTTTTTGGCTATTGGGGCTAAAAAAGTTTAACTATTAAACCTAGACCTCTTTATATATAGTATTATGCAGTAATGAGCGTCAAAGAAAATTAAAAGCACGTCAACTGCCGAGGTAATCCACTTTTCAGCACGGAGGATAGACCAATATTGGCTTCCTTAAAAGCCTTGTCAAGTCTCATTATTATTGGTTTAGAAATCATAATTTAGAATATTGTCAGATTAAGAAACGAAATATTTTTCCTGAACAATAATTTTTTTAACTATATATATCTACAAAAAAATCTTAAAAATTCTCCTATAAATCTACAGGCGCCTGCGACGGCATAAAACAAAGAACTTAAAGTTTTCTAAAGTAAAAGAGCCAGAACTTTTGTATTTCTTCTCTGTTCTATTATGTAGTCTAACTAGATTGCCATTAGGGGCCCATATCAGGAGCTATTCCCAAAAACTTACAATAATCAACTTCTTATGTCCTTATAACCTTCTATGCCATGTTTAAACGTTTCACCTTGTTTATCCATGGTAATGCTATCAACCCTTTCTATTGAGATATCAACAAAATACAAAGGAAGGTCTTCCACTTCCTACAAGCGGCACTGCTACATTCGGGTTACCTAAAACGTCAGATACTGGACTTTTAATGTCAATAGGTTTATCACTACATTGATAATCCCCAAACATACCATAAGGTTATCCATTTTACGCATTTTTGCAGACCTTTGGTCTTGACAGCGTCGCGCCACGTAGGGCATAGGGTGTGCTCACCTCAGTGCCATGTTTCCTCACGGCATCGTGGGGTGAATTCATCCCTTCCAAGCTACTGCTAGATTGAGATAATTTATTACGCATATGTGTTTGAATAAAGTAAAGTGTGTCGGCAAACTCTTGTTCCATACCTCTGCTTGAGAAAGCCTGCATTCCATTTCTGTCGAGCTGTACACCAAGCTTAACAGGCTCAAAGTATGCGTGAGTGGTATTACCATCAAGACCAAATAAAATTTATCCATATACGATTTCTGGCATTATTAATAAGAAATTTATTGGGGTTAAAACGTTTATGCGATCCAATAATTTAGTTTTTCGACAACTATTAGCTTCTATCCTCTTGCTAGCATCTTTTAAATTGATAATGGACCGGCAAAGAAAAAAGTTGTAGTTAAGATCATCGGCAAGCTTAAAATATTTTTAATTTTCCTTTATGCTTATTAGGACTTAAATTAAACACTCCATTTCTTATAAATCCCATTAACTTTAGCAGTGCTTTTAGACCTCACCTCAAGCATCTAGGTTACTTTATACAATTTTTCTCTATTTTCTTATATGGTAGCTCCTTTTGAGTATCCAACTAAATTAAACTTAATACTTTAAAATTTTAATTTCCTGGAATAGTTTTAAAGGTGGTATATGACCTCTTCTTAAAATGTTCTCTAAACCTTTTTAACATTCTTCATTAGTGCGTTTAAAACATCTAGTAACAATTTGAGTCCTACATCTAAAAGGAAGCTTTAAATATGATTTACCAACCAAGGAAAAGAAAGTTGAACGCATATAACTCTTAAAAGAAATAACATTATTGTAATCGCTCTCTCGAAGAAAACGTGTTAACTTTAAAGTCGAAGCATTAACTGGGTAGAATTGAGTATGTTCGAATGTACAATAATGTCCTTAGTCTCGCTTTTTCCCGCAAATTCCATGTATAAAACCGTTTTCAAGGCAATCTTTAAAGAGGGACTGATTCTTTTATTATAATCCGCCCAGTTAAATAAAGTTTTGCAATAAGTGAACTTTCTCTTCTGGAAGACCTTTAATTGTATCGCGAGGAAGAATCAGGAATACAAGGCCTGTTCGAAATGAACACGGCACACTTGGAAAGTGATTGGAGAGTAAACGGACACTGCAACCCTCTTTCAAAAGAAATTTCTTCAATACTATCTAAAGAATAACCGTATAAAACAAAAAATTATTCAGAAGAGAAAAAAAACTATTAAATATGCTTGTGCTTTCGTTACAACCTTTTCGCCATCGAACTGACGTTTCAAAACAGGAAAAGGTAACCTTTTTAACATTCATCTCGAAATACTCCATAAAATCGATGACATGCCAAATGGGTAAGTTAAACTCAAACGGTATCCGTTTGAGGAGTACAGAAATTCCAACCCTTTGAAAACACTAAATTTTTTTTTATGCAGCACTAGCCCTTTTTTCGAAACAAAGATGTAACCATAATGTTAACTCGTTAGTAAGCTTCCAGAGTTATGCGGATAATAACCACTCTTGTAAGGTCTGAGGCAGTTCAGAAGAGTACTGTAAAAGTTCATCTTGTCAGCACCAAAAATTTTGTAACCCAAGTTATTGTTCTTAATGAAAGAAGTAATAGTATTGCGGTTAGGTGCAAAAATACAGAAAAATAAACTGTGGGTATTCTCAAAGCCGAAACTTTGAAGGAAGGTCGTCAATAAAAATTGATTCAATCACTTTTCCAAAGTTTTGAATGGCTATACCTGCTTTTAAGTTTTTGAAGAGGCTAAGGTTCAGGTCATTGGTTAATTTTGGTTATAACTATTATATTTTTTCATTATTATATAAGAATTCATAATACTTAAAGCTTTGAAGGTAAAAAACCCCTCTATATTTTTATCACTCAAAAAAGATGAATGCTGAATAACATTTCTTATATAATTTTCCATTATTACAATGACTTTCATAGTTAATTTTTATACCGGTTGCGGACAAACTTTCAGAGGAACAAGAATTCTAAAGAGTTATAATTGCATAAAATACGAAACAGTTGTAAATAACATTATTAAGTCGGCCTCTCCTATTAAACACCAAAAAAATACCAGTGCAACCAATGTGAGTAAGTTGTTGATAAAAGGCACGCTGGCAAGTCGCTAACGTTAAAAAAGTAATTTGCAATGCGCGCTATACCTTATCTATTTAACAGAATCTATCTTCTTAAATTCGAGATCATATCTAACAATATTAACTTACCAAACTCTTCACTATTTAAAAAAAAGAAGCAGCCGTTAGCCCATCAGTATTTAATAGATAGTGATAGCCCTTACCAATAGAATCAAATTTTAAATAGGAGAAAACGAACCAAGAGTGCTTTCTAAATAAATCGGCGACGTCTCCTTCAAAGAAGGCCGGAGAGAAACAAATAAAATTTAATGCCTAAAGAAGGAAGAACAAATGCCAAAAGTGTAGTAATACAGAAAGTCTAAACCACCTTAATTTTTACAAACTGTTGCCTACCAATAGGAAATAAATAAATAAAAATTAGCGCTAATAACCAGTTCGCTTCCAAATAATATATATACACGTGAAAAGGTCAGTTTGAACATAGTATAAGTTTAAAATTAAAAGTTCCTTCTAAAAAGGAAGCGAGTGTTTGAATAAGACGAAAACAAAAGGAATTAATAGAAAAGTAAAACGGTTTCCTTAGTATCCCCTTTTAAAACGCGTAACTTGGCAATTACTTTTAATAATAGAGAAGGCAAAAACTAAGAAAATATTCAAAATTTTTTTCTTCAAGTTAAATAAACAACAAATTTATGTAATTTTTTATCCGAGTAACAAGTCTAAAAATTATAGGTAAAATAACAAGTATTTTAATCACAAAGGATATATTATAGATTAAATAAGTGATAGAATAAATAACCAAATAATAAAGAAATATATTTAAAAACAAACAACTAAAACAGCAAAATGAACAAAAAAAACAAAAAGAGAAAACTGGATACCAAAAAGACGAAGTATCACACTTTATAGCACTGGCTTACTACAGATGTGACTAAGATCGATTGCCGTTTAATTTACTTTAATTGAGGGTGCAAAAACCACAAGTTCCTAACTATTCAATGCGCCATTAAGGAGAACAGTTGCGCGTTATCATAGCTAAGTAGTATATAATAAAAAGAAGAAAAAGCAAAGTAATTTAAAATTTTAAAGGAAGAAAAAAGGGATGGATTAGTTTCAATTCCATATTATTATAAAAAAAATATATATATAATTAAGTTAATACAATAAACTATAACCTTAACCTTCCCCCACCTTCAATAGGTCTAAGAAATGTTTTGACCGCGAGTACTTGGCAACCAACGGGAAGTCATAATTAAGAGCCTGTAAAACAAGATAAACTTAAATAGGCTCGAGGTTACACTCTCTATGTAGTTAGCTGTTGTGCACAAACGAAGGGGCCGTCCACCACCATTTTAGAA